TCTCTCTTCTCCCCTTTCTCTTCTCCACCAGCTTCTCCCCTCCTCCACAACCTTCTCCCCTTCTTCCCCTCCTCCTCCCCAGCTCCCTTCTCCCCTCCTTATCCCTCTCTCCTTCTCCAACCTCCTCCTCCACCAGCTCCCTTTCTCCCCCTCCTTTCCCCTTCCTCTTTCTCACGCAGCTTCTCCCCTTCTTCTTCTTCCACCAGATTCTCCCCTCTCCCTTCCACCAGACTCCCTTTCTCCCCTCCTTCTCTCTCTTCCTCTTCTCCACAGCTTCTCTCCCTCCTCACCACCTTCTCCCTTCTCCCCCTCCTCACCACTCTCTTTCCTTCTCCCCCTTCCTTCTCCACCAGCTTTCTCCCCCGCCTCCTTCACCACCTTCTTCCCTTCTCCCTCCTTCTCACCAGCTTCTCCCCTCCTTCTCCACCAGCTTTCTCTCTTCTCCCCTCCTTCTCCAGCCAGCTTCTCTCTTCTTTCCCCCTCCTCCACCAGCTCCCTTCTCCCCTCCTTCCCTTTCCTCTCACCAGCTTTCTTTCCCTCCTTTTGCCACCAGCTCTCCCTCCTCCACACCTTCTCCCCTCCTCCTTCTCCACAGTTCTCCGTCCTTCTCCACCACCTTCTCTTCTCTCCCCTCCTTCCTTCTCACCAGCTTCTCCCCCTCCTCCTTCTCCAACACCTTCTCCTTTCTCCCCTCCTCCTTCTCCACAGGTCTTCTCCCTCATTCTTCTCACCACCTTCTTCCATCTCCCCTTCCTCCTTCCTCACCAGCTTCTCCCTATCCTCTTCTCACCATCTTCTCCCTTCTCCCCTTCCTCCTCTCCACAGCTCGTTCCTTCTCCCCTTCCTTTCATTCCTAGCCATATTGAGTCGGTTCCTTACGGCCTGTGCGTATAGCCATATGGAATCTGGCCCACACGGCCTGGCTAATGTGGACTGGTGGCAGTCTCAGTACGCAATAGCTAATTTTGCTACTGCGCTTGACACCCAGCACTCGTGCGGCGATGCGTGGCGCCATCGCATAGCGCTAGGTAATTTTCAGACTGGGCGGTATCTCAACCGTGGACACCGGCAGCCGGCGTATATCTGAAGGCCTGCCCGGGCACGGAGTAAACAAGGCGTTTAGGGTTAGAGTTAGGAATTAGGTTTACTGGGCTTAGAGTTAGGTTTTGGATTAGGTTTAGGGTTAGAGTTAGGGTTAGAACTTGCCCGCGGCAATTTAGGAAAACGAATGACCCGTGCCCGGCTGCCGGGCATAATAGCTCTATGTACTATAGCCGCGGTAATCGCTGCCGCAGGGCTATAGCACATTCTTGCCATAGATGTAATCTATAGCAAATGCCGTCCAACTGCATGTGACCAAAAATTTATTCCCAAAACGCTGAAATGATCGCGGCTTTTTACACTCCTATCTTATCAACATGGACATCTAACTATCTTTTTGAACACTTCACAACTTTACACAGCGTATTTATGCTTGTTATTTCCTCAAAGTCTTAGCCCCTACTGGGTGTTTTGTTTTTCAAATGCGGATTGCTTCTGCTTATGTGTGCACTGCCGGTGACTCTTCCAGTGCTAAGACTTTTGAGTGATAACAGCAATAATACCTGCGTGCTAAAGTTGTAGGACGTGTTCAAAAAAGTATAGGTGAGATGTCCATGTGATAGATAAGTGTTTAAATTAGCCCGATCATTTTTAACGTTTGGGGGGATAAATTTTTTGCGTCACATCAGTTTGGACCATTTGCTTGGGATTACATTCTATGCAGACATTGTGCTTATAGCCCTGCCGGCGCGATCCGCGGGCTATAGTACTAGGAGGACTACCGGGCCATATAGCCACAGCGCGCTAAATATTTAGCTCCTTGGTAGCCTGTACTGTAGGCTGTAGCGTGACTTTGGAGCCCTATAGCTCCTAATCCTATTTAGTATTTAGTACTACTATTACGTATTAGTATTAGTATTCCTATTAGTTTTACTTAGGCAGATGGTGTCGTTTGTCGTATCAGCGTACTACAGATATTAGACGAGTCAATTCTTGTCCCATATACCTTTTTTATATCTTTTGTGAGGGTTATATTGCGCGACAGAACGGAGTTCATTGAATTTTCGCTGAGATTCGCATGCAAAATGGATGCGCTGAGAATGCGGCCCGCTACGCCGCTATTGGCTGCCGAAAAAACCTACCGTTCCCTTACTACAATGGCTCTTACCCTTGCTACTGTATTGTGTATAGATTCACTTCAATTCGTTATTCACTTTTAAAGATTGTTTTCATAAACACCGCTTCTGTTTTTACAACTTTCCTAATTACATCGCCATTTAAAACAATCAGACCAATCACAGCGGGTGGGGGGGGGGGGGGGGGGGGGGGGGGGGGGGGGGGGGGGGGGGGGGGGGGGGGGGGGGGGGGGGGCGGGGGGGGGGGGGGGGGGGGCGGGGGGGGGGGGGGCGGGGGGGTGGGGGGGGGGTCGGGGGGGTTGTCTTACAATAGTCTTCTTATGGCTTCTCGCTTGCCATAGAATCGCAGCCAATAACTGGTTATTGCCGGCTTCGATTTCTATCCGCTTGTTATCTGTGGCCGCTGCAGGAGCGGCTAGACTCGCTGTTGATTGATCTGATTGTTTGTAAATGGCGATGTAATTTAGGAAAGGTTTGACGAAATCGGTGTTACTTTGAAAAACAATCTTTTAAGATTGTGGAATAACTGATGAAGTGAATGTATACACATAATCAGTAGTCCAAGGTAAAGCCATGTAGATGGGGACGGTAGGTTTTTGTATGTCGCGCCATCTCAGCGGGGTCACGGGGCAATTTCGCTCACGCGCATGCATTTTTGCATGCGATTCTCACGAAATTTTTCAATGAACCCCGTTCTGTCCCAATATAACCCTCTACAAGATATAAAAAGGTTATACTGCGGACAGAATTTATTCGGTCTATACAGATATGCCACCCGTAACGCCGAGGTTTAGTTTTATTGTGTTGTTATAGTATCAACAACTTGGTCAGTAACTAGCACTACCGAGTCACCAATTACCAGCCGCAGCACATAGTCCTTTATGTTTGATTTGATCTAATAATTCACACTTCAAACCGTTCCAATACACCGCTGCACACATTAGCGCGGCACGCCATTGTTCATGCACAACATACACAGTGATATAGAGAAGGTATGAAAGCTGTCCCCGGCACAGAAAATTCCAGGAACGCTCGAATCTTTTTCACAACACTTAAGAGACGAAATACACGGCTCCAACGGCCATGATATCTGGCCATCTTTGTGTAGACCTTGAATGCCGTCACTTGCTTCGAAAATATACGTCTTGCCGAAACTGGGCACCACATATCTTTACCCAGAATTATATTGAGAAATCCTGTCGAATTGCCTCTGCGGAATTCACATAGAAGCGATTCGTAAATGGGATAGTACATGAGCAGGGCGGCGCATTGCATTCTGGAGCAGAAGTCTGCTCGCTGTCCGCCTTAGTAGCTGACCTCGCTGTGTCGCGCAAACTTAGGATCTGTTTATTTTCTTTTTTTTTTTTATTGCACAAACTTAGAAATTCAGAGCTCAGCACTTTGCCTGCAACAATCTTGAGATTGGGCAAACAGAGGTTCAACAGAGCTTGCACAACATGATTATTAGGCATTTCAGATGTTATATTCATAACTAATTAAACATAAACTTCATACACATAGACCACAGCACGTACTCACGCACACACACTCGCAGCTAGCGGCCTGCATATACCTCCAAAGTTAACTCGCGTTCGGCCGACGGTGTGCCCTCCCTGTTTTTAACAACATTCTAACTCAAAAACTGTTACTCGTTAAAAATTCTTAAATCTATTTACATAAACAGGCCCAAGACGGTTGTCATTTTGGAATACGAAGTTTAATCTTCCTTATCGTAGTTTATTCACAAGTTATATTATGGCTGCGAAAGTTGCTACACGCCGCTGAGATCGCGGCTCGCAAGTCCCGCGCCAATCATTCGTTCTATCATGTTGACCGAGCAAGTTGTTGCATCGCAATTCAAAGTAAGCCAACTTTTTGAAATAAACTACGATTATGGAAATAAACTTCGTATTCAAAATTGACAACCGTCTTGCCATGTTTATTGTCAAATATTCTTAAGAATTTTTAACGTACAGTTCATTTTAGAGTTAAAATGTGTTAAAAACCCGACCGAGTATAACTTTAGGAGGTATGCAGGCTCTTAGTAGCTGCGAGTCACACACACACACACCAACACACATGTAAGCATAAGGTCGTATACCTTCTTTCCTCAATGTGTTTGGCCACCTTTGTATAAAATATTAAATTATTATAATAAATAATTGGATATATATGAGTTAAATAACTTCCTAGTTTGCACCACGCCCACCACACACTCGCTATGAGCGGTTGTTGAATCACCGACTGTTTTCAGTTTGCCCAATCTTGAGATTGGTCAGCCAAACTAGGGAATCCGCAGTTTGGGCAGCACAATCGCTGCACAATCTCGAGATTGTGCAGATTCCAAGTTTGGGTGCGACAGTAGTACTATAGCCCGCGTACAGCTTGCTGGACATTATCACTGCTCCCTTGATATTTTTTTCTGTGTGGTGAAGGCTATATTCTTGTTTCCTTGGCATTATCAATGATTATGCCTGCCTGTCATTTATGCATGGCACTGTATCGTGTGATGTATCCCTGCTCCCTGAAGGCTGAACATTATTTGTGCTCGTGTTGGCAGCAATTCTTCTCGGCTCGAAATAGTATTTCTTCTCGGTGGACAGTGGACACTGTCACTGTTCATGTTCAATTGACGCCATTCTTCCTGCTCTTTATACTCTACACCTTTTCTCTGCACATATATTTCCTCAGTTTTCATGGTCTCTTGCATCATTTGATTTGTGTTGGGTGGCTATTAGAGTGCACACTTTAGTTTATAATTACTGCATTTGTGATGTAATTTAGATTTCAGTGTATGTAGGTGATATAATTACTTTCTTACAGAACCTAAAACCTACACGCAGATTCTAGTGGAGAAACGAGGAGAGAAAAATAATGTTGGTTTCATTCAGCTTAATCGGCGCAAGTCGCTGAATGCTCTGTGTGAAGAATTGATGCTTGAACTTAGTCATGCTCTTGATGAATACGAGAAGGACAAAAACGTCGGGGCAATTGTCATCACTGGGATCGGAAAAGCATTTGCAGGTACGTTGACTATCAGGTGATTATAACTGCTTTGTTAGTGGTGACAATTAACACACAGTAGGTGGACATGTTCTGTATATTCTCTGCAATAAATCCTTTGAGCTTTATTTAATTATCATTATTTTATGTTTATATCTAACTATTGAGGGAATTCTTATAAATGTACAAGATTAAATAGAAGTTACCTAATTCCATATTTCTTATTTATATATGATATATGTTTTTTATTGTGATGCACTTAATTGACATGCTATATTTTCATGTTCGTAGCTGGTGCAGATATTAAGGAAATGGAAGGACTTGACTTCACGAAAGTGTATGGCGGTGATTTTCTCAGTAACTGGACACATATTACAAAGATTACAAAACCAATTATTGCTGCTGTTAATGGATTTGCTGTGAGTCTATCTAGATATACATGTATAAGCAGTAATCAGTCTACATTATTATTAAGCTTCTTTGGTATTTTGTAGTGCCCAAATAGCTTCTAAGACATGTATATGTCCACCCCAACAGGGTTGATTGTTGAGCAAAATTATGTTATGGTGACGTACCACTACATCAAGGAGATTGCATTGTGATCACGATGTTTGTATTTTTTCAAAACAGCACGGGAACAGCACACCGTGCACGCACGTGTGTACATGTGTGCGTGTGTGTGTGAAATGTGATGTGCATTCATGGGAAAAAGGTTACACTGATTTTAATCTCTGAACACATTGAATTGCAGTTGGGAGGCGGATGTGAGCTGGCAATGATGTGTGACATCATATATGCAGGGGAAAAAGCCTCGTTTGGGCAACCTGAGATTATTCTAGGAACCATTCCGGGTAAGACAAGCTATGCTTAATACCAGGAGTAAGATAGGGGTCATTCCATCAGGTTGGGGAACAAAGTGTGACATGATAGTTAAATTTTGAATATGTTCAAACTGTAAATCTATCTATTATATATAACAGGGTTCATTTTTACTCAACCGTGAAGATTGGAAACGTACCGCTGACGTTTCGCCTCCTGCCAGGAGGCTTTCTCAAAGCAAACTGATGATAATCAGTTTTGACCACCAGATGGTGTGGTGGTCAATAGCTTAGTCCACACGTGACTAAGCCTGTATCCCCCCCCCCTCGTCCCGGTTGATGTTTGGAGTCTTGCGGATCCAGATGGCCTCCTTAATCCAACGCCTGATTTTGATTGACTCGCGATCGATGATCTTCGAATTCTCTCAATCAATGGTGTGATTGTCCTTTGCTACGTGGTCAGTGATCGTGGATTTGGTGATTTTGGTAGCCGACTGTTTTCGTTGGACCCTTGTGAACGATTTGGGTGCTACGGTGTCTACATCCTTTTTGTGTTCTTTTAGGCTGGTTTCACATTTTCGGCCGGTTTCTCCAATGTAACTTTTTTCACACATTGCACACGGTATCTTGTAGACACAGTCCGTAATGTTGTGCATATGTGTTCTGTCCTTACGGTGTACCAAAAGCCGTCTTAGGGTCTCAAATGGTCTAACTGTTGAAGCCACACCTGCATTTTTTAGGTGACGCCGAACTACGTCCGTAGCTATCTACGTTCGTACCATTTGGTGGTCCAAACTGATTATCATCAGTTTGCTTTGAGAAAGCTTCCTGGCAGGAGGCGAAACGTCAGCGGTACGTTTCCAATCTTCACGGTTGAGTAAAAATTAACCCTGTTATATATATTAGTCTACCAACCGAATGAACTTATTTAATGAGTAAATCTATCTATGTTTTCGAATAAGAAAACTATATCATACTTTAAAATTTAGAAAAAATTATATGTTGTATATGTACAGGAAATTTGTTAGTGTACCATACAAATTCACAATGGCCTGTCATAGAACTGTCGTGGCACTCCAACATAACAGAATTTCGACTGACACCACTGGTGTATTTTTGCACAAACACCAATCAATTTGTAAGAAAACTGGATTTTTAGTTGGACTATCCAGCTATGTCCCCCAGGGTACTATCGGAGGGTACCCTGGGTACGGTTCGATATATCGGAACGTACCCTGGTACTATCTAATATGCTGGACCGTACCTCGTCTACTCCACCTAACCCTATTAAACCCTAACCCTAACCCTAAGTTAACCATATCAGATAGTTACCAGGATACGTTCCGATATATCGAACCGTACCCAGGGTACCCTCCGATAGTACCCTGGGGGACATAGACCCCATGAGCCAAACTTACAACTACACAAACAACAAATTAAATATGATATGTTACTTTTTTTTCTTCGTGGAAGTAACTTACACCTGCATGAGTGGACGTAACAATTTGCAAAATGTGTTAATTGACACCATAGTGTAATGGGATTTGGACTGCTACATAGCACGATTATAAGACATATATGGTAGCCGTAACAAAGCTGTTTATTCAATGACTGTAAACGCCATATATATCGGATATCCCGCGCGGTGTTGTGCGTGCCATCTGGCGTGTCATATATATCCTAAATATACTACATCTCTCTTTACACAATAAAGAGTTTTGTCAGTCATCGATGTATTCCGTTTCATGAACATAAAACAAAATGTGCCAATAAACTTTCTAATAAAGATGACTTGGAATGCACATAAGGTCTGACAGTGATCAGCTATTTAACTTTAAATCACAGCTTTAGATTATTTAGACAATTAAGATTTGCTATAGGATATGTTTGTAACATGTGCATATAACATCATAACATTATAAACTAGAATGAACTTATGCATTCATAAATGGCTCAATGTTGCTGTACTGACTATTTCAGTAGTTACGTTAATGTAAATAAATGTACTGCCAATCACAGTATATATATAAGTAATATAACATAAAACACCTTTTTTATACTTAACCTACTATGTCAGTATACTGGTCCCTATCATAATCATACATATATCTTTTTATATCATTATATCTCATTATATGCTCACTTGGCTTATGTTCTACACTCACAGGTTAAGGATACTCTCGTTTTGCATGAAAGTGCGGTGGTAACCTCGTAATTTCTCAAGGTGCATGGAACATATTATCAATTTAGTGGTGTCAGTTAGTCATGGATATGTCGCAGTAAGTACTAACAGTAGATATTTCACATACGTTCACCCATTTTGCACACAGGCAGTCAATCATTGTGAAAAATAGAAAACCGCTGATTTCTCCGTTTCGAATTCTGACATAGTAGCCGATGTATAAATGGATATTTCTCTGTGATTACAACTCGGATTAATTTAATTTTACACTCGTTTTAATGGTAACATATTGCTGTAAAAAAGTGTGTCAGGGATTGTTATTAAGTGCCGTATTTTATTAGTTATGCCTTTTTATTCGCTAAAATTTTCAATTCTAACACAACTTGATTTTTAAGCAGTTTTTTTTCCATTTTTCTCGGTAAATATGAAACTTAAAGAAAAATTCTGACGCACTATTTTGGTCCATATTGTGCTTAACATGTGGCAAAAATTTTGTATCCTCACTCTTTCTGGTAGTTGAGAAATATTCAAAATGCCATTTTTACATAAAAATTCAAAATTTGTGTGGTAACATAATTAGGTGCTGGAAATTTCATGAAATTTTTTGGCTTGAGCATAGAGATATATCTCCTCTATAAATAAAACAAGTGATTGATTCGATTCATTCGACAATAAACGTTTAATCTTCATTAGAGCAATACCCATGCAAAAGGTGGAGAGTATCCTTAAGCCTAACACGGGGCTTGATCACCTTACCATATCTAGATCTGCTTATATTATCATGTTTACTAGAGTTCACATTTGGTAGTGATGGTGATTCGGGGCACTGTTTATGGGGTGAAGATGCTGTGTCTATCCTTGGCCCTGATGGAGTGCCTGGTGGGTGCCGTGGTGGGTCTTCAGGGTAACACTCTTGGGTGGTGCGCTGATATGGCTCTCCAGAGCTCAGTAGATTGTAGCGATTGCGCCGATAAACGCCACCATCATCAGACTGGATGACGTACGATCTAGGCTCTTTAGCATGGCCAATAATGACAGCTGCTTTACTGGGGGAAGACTTCAGGTGTATACGCACTCTCTCTCCTATCACAAGAGGCTTAGCTGGCGATCATGGTACTTCTTTTGACTGGCTTGCTGCTTTCGTCGTGTGGATCTGATGGTGACGACCTGTGTGTTTGGCAGACTGCATGAGCACTGGCTAACACAATTCTCGATGTCCTTGTTAATACATGGCCAGAATACAGTGTCTTTTGCTCGCTGCTTGCACTTCTCCATGCCCATGTGGGCCCATGTGGCCATGCCCATGCCAACATAGAAGATCGGAGCTTTTCTGGGATCACAATTCCGCGGGGGGGGGGGCTTGAAAACGATACCATCAATCACAGAAAGTTGGTCCCTATGGTTCCAGTAATCCAGTATATCTTTAGGGCAAGACACACGATTCTCCGGCCATCCGTTGATTATTGTACCCACGAGTATGCGCATGACCTGGTCTTGCTCTGTGGCAGACCTGATTTCGTCAAGTCTGTGTGGGGTTACGCGAACGGAATCAAAAACTGAGTGCACCCGAGCGACTGACTCCATGTCATCCTTAGACGGCGGGTCAACACTCAACAGGATGACGAGACAACGTGTCAGCGTCAGGTATTTCCTTACCTGGCTTGTGTACGACTTTGACGTCATCAGACGTCATACCCTTGCAGCTTCAGCAACATGCGTTGCAAGCGTGGTGGCGCAGCTGCAAGCGGTTTCTTGGTTATGAACTCCAGGGGTTTATGGTCAGACTCCACAGTTGTCTGCTGACCATACAGGAAGTGGTGGAACCTGGTACATCCGAAGGGGATTGCAGGTGTCACCTTCTCTATCTGAGCATACGCCTGCTCGGCAGAGGTGAGAGATCGAGACGCATAGCATACCGGCCTGCCCTCTTGTAGAAGAGTGGCACCCAGGCCATACCTACAAGCATCAACCTGAAGTGTGTGAGGCTTTGACGGGTCATAGTATGCAAGGACAACGCCTGGTTTGCATAGGATCCCCTTCATGTTGTCGAAGGCTGCTTGTTGTGGGGAGTCCCAGGCGAACACCGACTCCTCCTTCAGCAAGTCTCTTAGAGGTGCTGTGACTTCGGACAGGCATGGTGCAAACCTAGCCAGGTGCTTGGCAACTCCAAGGATGGTGGCCAACTCTGACTTGTTAGTGGGAGGTGCCATGTTGGCAACTCCCGCCACCTTAGCTGGGTCTGGCTTGACTCCACCGTCTGTCAGCTGGTGCCCGAAATATATGTGACCGCGGTTGATCCGAATATCCGAGTTGAGCCTA